CGAATACGTAATAATTATTCTAATAGCATTATTAATAATTACAATATGAATCATTTCACACTCCCAAGCAATACCACAGTAATACTATACACTACTATACACAAAGGCAAAAGATATCTTCTTCTTTAATGCATCAAACGTCCATTATTTTATATTCAACTTTCTTTTTTCTGGTCTCTAGATAAAGATACCTTTGAACTGACAATTGAACGGATTGCTCCACGTAACCTTCCTAAGCAGTTTGAATAAAATTTAATCCAGTCGATATCGACTATAGTTTAGTTTCGCATGAAGGATTCCTGTTGAATTTTTAGATTCTACAGTGACGGATAAAAGAAAATTTTAAATTGATATGCTTATTGTTAATAACTTTTGCACTGAACATTTTTTGTCACATTGATAATTGATATACCATATTCGTTAATTTTGTAAAATGGTGTTCTTTTTTATTTTTCATGGTGCCTTTTTATATCTCTTGTTTCGTAAATTTTCTTTTGTCCGCCACGGTACGTCCCTGTTTCTCTACCACCTCCACTTTTCCCGAACATCCAGCTAAGTCTGTCAGCAGCGTTATTGATCCAGCTGGTAACAGACCGCGTCTATGCAATGAGGCCATCTATTCCCGAGAATCGTATATGTATATGGGCTCGCTGGGCCAAGCGTTCAGGATAGCCATTCAGAAGGTGCTAACGTCGTATTACGTAGACGGCGACATTGCTTACGTAGACCGTAATCATATTAGGCTTACCCACGTCTGTTTCTAGGTTTTGTATGGTTACAGTTGACAGCCTTCTCCAGGTGCGACTCTTTCTTCTGACAATTGGGTTTTTTCACGGACATAAATCTCTCTTGTTGTTTCCAACAAGTCTTGTTGTTTGGGAGAATTTCGAAATGTATATAATTAGAGAGTAGAAGAATTATTGTTATAATGCTAAAAATTTAGAATATATATATACTTGACTATAACAAAAAGTAAGGTAATTATATATCCTAACCTCCTAGGTAACGATATATTATCACAAATTTTTATTTTCTAATTCACTCTGTTATCTATTTCCCTGCAAAGCTTATTAAATAACAATCACCTTTAAAAGTATTCCTTACTTTACGATCTCGGAGAAATTCTAAAAAAGATATCAACATTTTTCACATTTTTATAGTGAAATGAAATACCGCTCCAATTCCACGTGCATATATGTAAAACTATCGTAATGTTCACATTCATTTTCTAACCTTTATTTTTAAGAGAAATTTAACCATTTCAATATACCTTCCCAGTACAAGTACAATGGTTACAAAAAGATATTGTCACACTAGTACATTTCTTACAATATTTCCACATTGAGTAATTAGGTACAAGTATATTAAATTTCGTACCGTTCTGTAGCACTTTCGTATGGCTGCAAAAATTTCATATTATGAAAATGATATGTATAGAGCATGATAAAAAAAAAAACTGCTTTATTAAGAAATAAGTGTGCGTAGCCGGTGTACTTAAAGTTTCTTTATGATAAAACAATTGTGCTGACTCGTGAACGAGCGTTCAATTGACCTAGAGCGACTGAAAGGGGTCCCGGTGTTCTATTATGTACCGGCAACAATCAAATTTCGAAACTATTAACAGGCATTGAAACGGGCACGTACACGCGGTCTGAGGCACGCGTGTGTACGCGTCTAGGTGAAGGATAAGTGCATTAGACGAGGTCTGATAAGCTGGTGTGCGCGTGTGCATAGTAAAAGTCGGGAGGAACAGTAGCGGCAATTAACTTGCCAGCTGGTAGGCTATAAAAAGCGCAATTTCATCCAGCTCGTAGCAATGTAACCGATAATTGGAAAAATTTGTACTTCTTATCGGCCCTTCGTTTGTTTCTTCGTTTCAATATTTTAGTTCATTATACTTTTCTCTCTTCATTTTGAAATGTATTTTATTTGTCGTATATATCATATAATATGTGACATTATAATATTACAAGCGCGACACGGGATTCAACAGTTAAACTTTCTCAATATATCTTACAGGTACAACGAAGCGGAGAATGTTATATCAATCGTTTCAAACTTTATTAAAATGTTATAATAAAAATACGAAAAATACGGAGAAGTAATAAATTGTTTAATTAAGAATTCTTCTAATAAGAGACGCCGAGGGAAAAAAGAATGAACGCTATTGTGTGTTTCATTATTATTAAATAATTGCATATTATAAGGGTGGAATGGATAATAACAAAAATTCCCTTTAATTGTTTAAAAAACATGTACAAGTGTTAGGTAATGTATCGATACTGTATTGATTTAGAATTTTTTTCTTTTAGAGATAGAAGAGACGAAGAGAAGAAACGAGAAGCGAGATGAAAAGAAGAGGAGAAAGTGTGGTGAAAAGTGTTTGCTTCTATCGTAGAAGGGCGTGCATCGTTCTTTTTTTTATGTTTAGGTTGCTACTTTGTAGGGACTTCCCCTTTCGGGTTGCCATCGCGTAATTTCTGAACGGGATTGTCGAGAGAATAGTTCATCGATCCCTACAGACCAGAACTAAAGGCTAAATTTCCGGCTAAACTCTCGGTTTCTCTTATTCTCTCAGATTCTGAAGTAATGTACTCGCGTTTATTTCTTTCGACATTTATATTATACGTGTTGCATAACTTTTGTATTTGGCCAGCTAAAAATTGGCAAAAATAATATGATAGAAGTATAAATAATTTTTTTATAGATTATTTTGTATAGATCTATTAAAATATAGAAAAAAGGCTTGCAAAAGATATTTTTAAAAATTGCTAATGAAATATCTTTATTGAGAAGAATGGTGATAAGAAAGATGCCTGAAAGTGTAATGTAACGAAATCCATCCTTTTAGTGTGGCACGTTGAGAATTCTTGAATAAAATATCTATGACTCAAAACTTTTCCCTTCTACGTTTTCCTTAACTGTAATAAACACCTCCTCTTTGTATGTTCTTCTTAAATACAGTAAACACATTTCTTTTGTACGTTCTTCGTTTATAGAATACAACAAAAATATGTACTTTTTTAATGTCTTTCCTTTATCCATCTTTCTTAAAGGAACTCTCAATAGAAAATTTTTATTGAAAAAAAAGTAATAAAAAGATACGAATGAAGTATATTCTGTAATTCACTTTATACCTTCTTCTACGTTTCCTTTCATTGACATTGAAAAGATGCGATCAAAAATACGAATGCAAAAGTAATTGGACGAAGAATTGTTTAATTTGATGGACTAAGAATTATTTTATTTGTGCACAACTTCTGTCCCAGGGCAATTAATCGTCAATTCGAAGTAAGCTAATTCAGAAGTCCTTTAATTTTTTCCCTGTTCTATGTCAAGGTAATGCTCGGATTGCAAGTGTTACCCTTGAACTGAATAATTAATTCATCCCCATCAGTTAATTAAACAGCAGTTGCATCGGAAAGTAAACTTCCCATCATTGTTGTTGTTGTTTAAACATTTAAAATCGACGCTTTGCAAAGTTCTTCGATCAAAGCGGTCACCTACTTTCACGCTTAGCCAATTGCTCAATCAGCAACGTGTGCTCCTTTGATGTTATTATACAAATTTTTATCATTTACTTTATTTTTCTAAAACTAAAAATTGGTACGAAATATTAAAATTTTCTTTAATCTCCTTATTTCATCACTGTTTTTATCGAATCAATACTTTGCCAAAATTGTATATAATACGTTTTAACAATTGGTTTATATATTTCAAAAATTATCGAAATACATTTTAAGAAGAATTTCATTTCTATTATTTTTAATTTCACTTTAGGAACAAGAGTAAGGAGAATTGTTTTAACGATAATACGTCAGTTACTGTCAAAAGATTTGATGTTAGTACATAAAAAGAAATGGCCAGTAAAGGTGTGCTCTTTGTACAAGTATTTGTGAATGAGTGTTACCCTTAGCTACTGCTCAAGAAAACACCCTTCAACTCTTTCACTCGTATTCTGCTTTTCAGAGGAGAGAATCCGGAATTTTCCTCCGGTTATTAATCTCAATTAAAAGATACGTATAATAGTTTCCCCAGCAAACATATTCAATCGTTATAATCGTATAATATTATATTTATACATTGTAATTACTGGAACAATTTCAGACATCTGGATTTCTTAAGGAATTATATTTAAACCTACCAATTATGCAACATAGTTACATTAATTCGAGTACATGTTTCTAACAGCCTTCGTCCTTTAAAGTTGTATATTCAAATACGCAATCCAATTACACAATATTAAGTCAGTTTCAGTGCTGTCACTAAAAATGCATAAAGAGTAAAATTTAATCTCTTGTTTTCCTTACTGCAAATTCTATCTTCCCGTACTAGAACGTATAATCTTTTCATCCCTCTCAATAAACTAACTCTAATTCTTCCCAATAGACATTTAAAATTATCGAGGAATTATATTATTACAGTCGAAAAAAGTCTACCACTCACCTCTTTCTTCTATCACCAATTTCCTTCGTTCTTCATTAATTTCCGTTAAATTTCACTTTTCAATGGGAACATAATTCGAATTTTGAAACACGAGAACAAAAAAATTAACGACGTCACTTGAGGAACCTAGTGCTCAAAATATATTAAATAAACACGAACTAGCTATAATTCCAAGCTATAAACGTAAAATCTATTACATAGAAAACGAGAGCTTAAAATCTGTTACATGAACATAACTTAATCTTATCATTTTATCACATAATTTTTTACCATTTCTCTATCTAAAATCTCCCCATCTTTCTCCTAGTTTCCCTAAAATCCGACTGTTATGCAAAAAAAACCTACTCCAATATCCGCGAAAACCACCCCAAAACTGAATCCCGTAGAAATTCACCTTCTGAATCTTCCAGCACCCTCTCTTAGACCCTATCGATCGGAAATTTCGAAAGGGCAATTAAAAGCCGGAAAAATGGTCGGTTCCGGACAGACATCGGCAGTTGAGGACAACTCCGTGTCCCTTTCCCGACGCAAGTGCCGCCCCTGGTCGCACGCCTGCCTAGTAGCCTCGTCGTGAACGATCGCCAGTGTAGTATCGCCAGTGAGGCGATACGGTGTGCGGCCTCGTGCACGAAAAGCGACGATTTTCCACCGGGATCCTCGTTCTAAACGACACGTAAGTTCACCAAGCAGCTATGCGTTTCCAATATTTTTCAACTTTCTCGACAATACGTCGTTAACTTATTACATCGAAATGTAGAACTATCGATTATATAGTGTCGCTAATGTAATATAACGAGTGACGTCGTTTAGGTCGCGTGCAACTGGCTCGAAACCTTGTTGAAATTGGCCAAAGTTAAGCTATGGAAGTGAATGCGTGTCCCGATCGACTGTCGTTCTAAGGATCGAAGTATACGGTGACTAAAAGAAGCGTTTTTCTTATCAGCTTTTATATTCCGTTTTCATAATATCGAATTTTTATCCCGACGACGATATTTATGCAAATTCATACTTTTTGTGGAGATGGTTAAAAAATGTGGACTCTAGGTAGGTGATCTTTCTATGTACTAAAGGTTACGACGATTACTATATTTTGTTTATTTTCTATATCTTTGCACGTTACATTCTCGCTACGACGCATTCTATGCATTTTTTGCATCTTCAAATTTCCCATAAATACGTAAAAGTGACGCAGTACTATCAAATGATACGAAATTCAATATAGTTGGATCTACGTAATTAATTACTATGTAAGCGCTATAACACATACAACGGTGTGTCGATACTTTTCGTAGCCACTGCGTGAAGATTAAGATGCGTGTACTCGTCAAAATTTATATATTTGATATTGTGGCGATAGTTTTTCGCTCGAACGCGCACGACGAATGATTTGAATTTAGCAATTATTAATTAAGAATCAAGAATTAGCGGTTCAAAACCGTCTTATCGCTGTAAATTTTTCCACAGTGTTATTATTATTATCTACCTGGGTTGAAACATGTTGCTCCGTATTTTTGCGCTTGGTGCCTTTTAACCAACTTATTCGAATTTCAATGATTTCATTTGGCAAGTGATTTGATTAATCAGAAAGATATTTTAAGCCAACCAAATATGTTCATACTGATAAAGCATTGAAACTACCAAGTAACTTGAATTCAGGTAAAACGACTAATGTGAACGAGGTTTACACGCCACCTAAACGATGTCATTTACTTTTTCTCACCAACGACGTTGCATAATTTCGATTGTTATATACATCAGGATTTAGTAAATTAATGGTATATCGTTGAACAAGTTGGAAAATATTGGAAACGCAAAGCTGCTGGATTTATACAGCGTCGTTTACCGCTGGCATTGCAACCACGCGTTTATTAAATCCGTTTCAATTTTGCTATTCTAAATTTATTAAGTTTCTGAATTTTTAATAATGAAACAGATACGGTCGTATGTATCGTATTATCAAACTTGCTGAATTTTAACGATGTGAAATGTTAGGAACGTTGCATTCCTCGACTGCGTACGACGTGTTCGTTTGACTCGTTGTTCGATGATGATATTCGACGATGAGAGATTTTTATCCTACGTTCTAATAGGCTTTTGAAAAAATTTGTTGCAATGAGGAGATACGAGCCGAGAATTATGCATATGAGATTGTCCGAGGACGTTGTAAAGCTTCTGTTACCTGGAACTGTACTACGTGTTCGTTTTGCAAATCGATGCAAATCGACGTATCGAAAAATTGATCTTACAAAATTGACAAGTTTGATATATAAATATCTTGAAAAATTCCTCGGTCCAACGAAATATTCCTATTTATTGGAAACGTTCCTATCTGAATAACATTTTGCAAAATGGAAATTACGTATGCAGAGTAACAATGAAATAAATGATTGACTTTAGTGTCTTATTTTTCCTAAAAATAAAACATTATATATACAGGGTGGTTGGTAAGTGGTCAAACGCCAATAAGTTGCAGAAGAAAATAATTTTCAGGAATTTTGAAGGAGCCAAGCATTTTTTAATGTGTTACATATACGTTTATATATACAGGGTGGTTGGTAACTGGTGGTACAAGCGGAAAGGGGGTGATTCTACGCGAAAAAAGAAGTCGAAAATATAGAATAAAAATTTTTTTTAAAATCTTTTTTTAATTTTTCCATCGAGACAACGATCTACAGCGAGTGCACGCGTACCGAGTGAAAATTCAAAGTCGATTTTCTCGAAAACAAAGCCTCAAACGACAAATTTTTATTCTATATTTTCGACTTCTTTTTTCGCGTGGAATCACCCCCTTTCCGCTTGTACCACCAGTTACCAACCACCCTGTATATATAAACGTATATGTAACACATTAAAAAATGCTTGGCTCCTTCAAAATTCCTGAAAATTATTTTCTTCTGCAACTTATTGGCGTTTGAAATATTTTTTACAAGCGATAATAATCCGACTTCTGAGAAGTTTCGACGTATTTTTACCCAGTATTATCACAAATGTATATTTATAAGACCATTTTTCATATTTAGACAGAGTGAAATACGTTACCAATGTGAGACCACTTATTTTAGCGTCAACCTGTATACAAACATTTGAGTAAAGCTTGAATTACGTATGTGAACTATGCTGCTACGTGTACTTTGATTTTGTAAGTCGATTTTAAGAATTTCTTGGGTGATTTCCATGTTAAGCATAGTTCGATAGGCTTTTGATCAAGATTTTACTATCAATGGATTGAGTGAAGTCTAATTGCTGTCGTAGGTGTCGATTTGTGAGCTAAAACGTGTTTTGTTTGATCACAGTGGTATATTAGCTGGGAATTCTTGGAAAGGGTGAAAACATAAAGGGATGAAGCATGATGATCTTCGATCATATTCGGTCATATGTATTGTTTGTTACATTTTTGTGTATTTCTATGCTGACAAGTTTATAAACTGGTGAATTGCGTTAGAAAAAAATGCTTCGTAGTTTGATTCGTATTGAAACGTTGATTTGAAATAATTGAACGAACGTGGAAACGTGGATTCGTCCATTGAAGAAGTGAACTGGTCTATTCGCTTGGAACGATTTCCTCTTGTTCGCTTCTCTTTTATTTCTATTCAATTATATTTACTATATATATATATTTGTATATATATATATATATATATATATATATATATATATATATATATATATATATATATATATATATATATATATATATATATATATATATATATATATATATATATATATATATATATATATATATATATATATATATATATATATATATATATATATATATATATATATATATATATATATATATATATATATATATATATATATATATATATATATATATATATATATATATATATATATATATATATATATATATATATATATATATATATATATATATATATATATATATATATATATATATATATATATATATATATATATATATATATATATATATATATATATATATATATATATATATATATATATATATATATATATATATATATATATATATATATATATATATATATATATATATATATATATATATATATATATATATATATATATACAAATTCCTACAACTCACATGTAAAATCACTTTTGATTAAAAACTCTTTTCCTCGAATTTTAGTGGAATGATTCATAATATATTTATCCTTGCTTATTAATTATCTGAAAAGGTAGGATTCTTAGTTCGAAACAGTCTAAGAAAAAGATAGAATAAAATAAACGAAAATCCAGTTATACAGAGAAATAATTAACAGTAGAAGAGAAACGAAGGATATTGGTAATAATCGATGGTATGGAACAGATCAACATGTTTGTTTGATCTATTCTTTATCTATCAATTGTCTGCAAAATGTAACGTTGAAATTTCTAAAATAACTTAAAAGAACGCAGAGGAAAATAAATGAAAGTGCTCGAGAAACGAGTCAAGGATTGCTAAATCGACTCATTGATTGCCCCCCGATCGATACAGAGGAATCTAACACAATTACTCGACAGATTGTTGAAATTTTGTAGCTTTATTCTAACGAGGATAAATCGATGAATCGCACTGACAATTTTCGATAATTTTCGACGATTCAGTAAGCACGATTTCCACATTTTCCTACAATTGTACACATCAAATATTTCTTATCAGTTCTTGTAATATAACTTCTCCGAGTCTTCCTATCTCGAATTTTTGTTGAAATGTCCAAGCTGTACGTGTAAACTTTCAAGCATAGTACCGACACTCTGATATCTCGTATTGCAATTTATATCGCTCGAGGTGACGGAACGGACCGGAAACGGGACGTTCTGTAGCGGAAAGTGTTGTTCCGAACGCATTATCCTTTCCTCACGACTAGTAGAGAAACTTGCGAGCGTCCAAACCGCGAAATTAAATGGAAAAAGTAGGTCAGAAAGACGGAAAAGACGCGAAAATATTTTTGGCATCTACTCGAGGATATTATTCCGCGCAAGCTCGTGCGATTCTTTAAGGAGGGATATATCGATTGTGAATTATCCTGTTCTTAAAACGAAATTCCTATTTTTAAGTTATGCAAATTCTGAGTCACGATATCGTTCTTCATTGTTGTTGTTATTTATCAATTATACGGTACAATAATAATAATTTTGGTATAAACACAAATGTTTCGTTATTTTCTTTTCTTTGATTCATACGCTTTTAATAATTTTACGGACTGCATTATTTTTTCGAATTTTCAATTTGCAGTTATTGTTTGATGTCGTAAGAATAATTATTTAAACGTTAAGAGAAATTTCGTTTCTCGAACTGTTTTGTTTAATGGTTTTTAATGGTTTTATAATAGACCATGATTAAGTTAAAGAAAATTCAGGGACGTGGAAATCTTGTCAATGTTAATGTCACCTAGAAGCTCGAACCTTTTTAAGGGATCTTCACCTAAATATTGCTTCAGAGAGGCTATGCTTGGCTTAAACCTTGCACAGTGCTCAAGCGTTTTTGTGATTCTTGTTAACCCAATATGGGTCACGAGGCTCAAGAAATCAATGAGCCTCGTGCTCCAAATATTGTTTCACGTACTATTAGATCGTACTATCAATTAGTAGTTGAGGCAATGCTATTTTCCATGGTATAATCCCTCCTTTCTATTTATTGCGTCCTTTCTAATTCTAAATTAGGTTGGAAACATTTTACGTCGCATTTAAAATCCCTCGTCGTTATAAAGTGTAATAGGAATAATAGGAATTGTTCTAGAAGTTATCGTATCCATACAGTTATTATTAAATAGGAACTGTAGTAGACATTTTTTTGAAGCATGGATTTCCAAAAATTGAGTGGAACTTTTATGATAGAAATTTGGTGAATGGAAATTTCCGCGATAGAAATTTGGTACAATGCAAATCTCAGAGAAGAAAAGTTTGGTCAATGGGAACTTCAGCGAACAGAAGTTCGTTGAAGATAGAAGTTGCTACGAATAGAAATTTCTGGCACAGAAATTTCATAGATAAAAATGTCCCTGATAGTAAAATTAAATGATCGCAGTAGAAATTGGTCGGATAAAAGAATTCTGGAGGATAGAAATTTCCTAAATATAAAAATGTCCATTAATACAAAAATGTTGTAATACAGACTTGGAAAATTTCCTTCAAATCGAGACTGTTAGAAAAATTTTTAGAGAAATTCTTTCACGCTAGAACCATTGATCTTTGCCAGGTACCTAAATAATAATAATAATAGTAGTAGTAAATTAAATAACAGTAGATTAAAATTATAGTAACAGTTGGATATTTTTACTAATTACGAAAACATGATTTTAATGTCGATTATCTTGACTGGTGCGTCAGCTCTAGTGTTAAAATCGATGAAATTAATTAAAAGGCGAAGTAGCGGGCAGGACGTCAAGGCGATCTAGCGTAGAAGGACAAATTAAATAGAACTCCATTTTCAGAGGAAATATAATTCCGCGATAGCTATTGATTCGCGTGTGTTTTCAGATATGGAAGATTAAGAGAAGAATGATATAGCCATGAACCGATCAGGAGGCGATCGTGACGAAAGGCCGATGGCTCAGATGATCCGTACACATTGCACAGAACGGTGACAGAGCTGTAAATTACAGCGATGGATATACAGAAGAAGCACTTGTGCCCCCGCTTGGTGGATTATCTCGCCATTGTGGGGGCCAGACTGCCCTCAGTCTCTCGCCAGCCTGTGCAGGTACATATTTTTCATTAAACGAGTAATAACTATGAAGATTATTTATCATTAAGCATCGGGGAAAGCGATCCTATCGCAGGAGATTGTGGAGACAAATTTTAACAAGCTTGCGGAAGGAGAGAATTTCAGGGAACTTTTACAATATAAAGAAGTGGCGCGTAGGTGATGAAGGAATACTATTCTGGTAATAGAAAGAAGACGATGTAAGTGTACAAAGGAGGAAATTTTAGCGATAAAAGGAGGAAGCGTAAAGATATCAAAGGAAGAACACCAGCGATAAAAAGGGCGATGTGAGGATGTGAAAAAAGGAATTTCAAATAAGAAAGAGAAATATTTGTATATTAAAAGAAAGTGGACAGCGGCGAAAAGAGATGATTTAGAAGATGCAATTGTCTTAAGCATATAGATGGCGCAGAATTTTATTAATTAGAAAGTTCATGAATGTATTATGATTATTTAGGTTCCAGAGTTGCTGCGACGATATCCAGTGGAAGATCACAAAGATTTTCCATTGCCGCTGGACATGGTTTATTTCTGTCAACCCGAGGGTTGCACCAGCGTGGGCCCAAAACGCACAGCCTTACGAGAAGCCACATCCTTCACTTTCACCCTTACGGACAAAGACTCCGGTACTCAATTATTTCTCTTTGCGTTTCTCGAAATAATCTTTCGAAGAATTAACTTTGACGTAAGGAGCTTTGAGAGATCAAAGTAAACGCAGGGGTGTTGCGATTAGAATCAAATAAATATAATTCGTAAAATGCTTGCTTTCCTGATATTTATATCGTATTTTAACTGTATTTATTCAATATTATTTTAGGGAGAACTCGCTATGGTATCTGCGTGAATTTTTATCGACCAATAGAAAGGGCGGGAGCTGCGGTCGGGAGTGGAGTGTCGATGAAAAGGGACAAGTACAATACGACGTTTCGAAGGGAGAGTTGGAGGAAAAGCATGGAAAAGAGCACGGATTCTGCCTTTTCTAGGTGAAATATAACACATTATTTTATCATAATTTTACTACCGAAAACTACAGCCATTCTGCCAGTTACCAACACTTGTCCGAACAATGAAAAATTCACGCCATTCGTTTTCTCTCATTTGCGAGATATCGACTTGAAAGGTCAGGTGAAATATCAGACTCATTAGTAAAGTTATAATTCAGATCCATAATTACGCAATCGTTATTAGCAGCTATGTATATTATACTAACATTTAAACATTTAAACGCATTACCAAACGTTGAATCTCCTAAGACTGAAAATTGAGATTCAGCTATTACTTATAGTCAGATTAGAAAAAAAGTGGAAGCTTAGGAAATATCAATGAAATAGAAAAGAATTCTTTTAGGAATATTCCTGCAACATTTTTAATCGGATATTTTTACTATTTTCGTTTACGCTGGTTGTATTGATTAGTTAAAGAGAATATTTTTCCCAATTATAAGACTGTATCTCTAGCTGTTCTTTATAGCGACTATAGGAGCAGTGCAGTGGGCCCTAGCGACTCGGAAAAAGATTGCCCGAGCAGCAGAAGGGACTCTGACACTTCGCATATACCGAGTGCACCGAGATTAGGTATCACTGCACCGAGTGGAGATAGTGAAAGTGGAGGAAGTCATTCACCGTCTCCACGAGCTTCACGCAGACGACAGGTAAACTGGTAAAAAATGTTGTATCATTTACCTAATACATAACTAACGTATGTATGGTAATATATAATAATGATATATAAGTAACATTTATATAATAATAACACGAAGTCGATGCTACAAATATCAATAATTGTTCTTATTTTCTATATCTTTATTTCATGATTTTACTTCCAGAGGATACGAAATCATTCGCTGACGTCGTTATGTATCATTTCCCATCATCCATTCTTTTCGATGTTCCGGGAATGCCTTTTCATTTTGAAGAAGATCATCGATGCGTGTAACGAGAGTTCCTCGCCGCAGAAAGTCGGTGCTTCCCGGCAGACCAACAGGTAAGGATAATCCTTAAAACAGCAAACTTACATCCTCTTGCGTTCACTCGCTAATTCTTCCTTATGAATATTCAAATCTCGCTTCGCATGCTATTTGTACGTGCCTCTGCATCATTGTTTCTCTCCTTCTTCATTTCCTATCGCGTCCGTCGTGTTAACGATAGTTTCTATTTTTGTCTGTCGATTGCGTATTACTATAAACGTAGGGATTACGGTACAAATATTTTTTAATGACTGTCAGTGGAAATGATGATATTCTTTGTAACGAATGTTTGAGCAGGAGATACAAAAGTATGTTAAGAGTTTAACAGAAATACTTCTTGTTCTACCCTGTTTAGTTATTTTGATTTGTTCCTCGCTCGAGAGTCTTCGCTTCAAGCAACTTTTGTCTCAGAACTATTGTTCTAGATACGATAAATATTTTTATATTATGGTATTATACTTATTGCTCTGTATTATATTCCAAATCTTAATGCGGTGATTAACGCAGCTTCCAGTTGTTTTTAAACACTCAATTCAGATATAAATAAATAAATGAAGAACGAGTTTCTTAAAAACAGAAATTGTCTGCCGATTTTTAACAGAGACACCGTGTGGAGCGTTTTAACGGGACAAACACTGGAAGGAACACCATCGATAGTGCTACACGATGTCCGAGAGATCGAGACGTGGATATTGCGATTGTTAAGCAGCCCTGTACCTGTTCCGGAAAAGACACGCGTCGAGGTCGAGATCGTGTCGCAAAGTATGCAGCCACCACTCTGTTTTGCACTCCCAGACCACACTAGATTTTCTCTCGTTGATTTCCCTCTGCATCTACCCCTGGAACTTCTTGGCGTTGACATATGCTTGAAGGTCCTCACGTTGATTCTCTTGGAGCACAAGGTAATTTTTCTATTCACCATCTAAATCACAATTATTTTCTCTTGAAAGTGATCTTTTCTTTAGAGAGAAAATTTTCCAAGCGTATCTTTTATTTTTGACGAATTCTTTGTTAGGTATTGATCAATATATTTAGTGTAATTTATAAGATTTGAACTTTTGTAAAACATCTTCAGCCTGTTTAGGATTTTCGTTTCTGTTCATTCAAATTTAGGATAAGATTGATTTTTCTAATTATATCTTCGATAACCCGATACTTTAAACTGAAGATTCTTACTACGTTGCTCAGAACAATTAGAGAATTTAATTTTTATGCCTCATTCCTTGTTTCCATTCATTCTTTCTCTAACGATTGTTTCAAAGTTAATCTTCCACGATATGATAAAAACAATATACTATTATAAAGACTACTTCGATTCCGTATGTTTGGTCGATTCATAGTAGTTCTCAGTTTTTTAAAATTTCTCAGTTTCGCTTCCTTACTTTTCTGATAATATTGCGAACAAAGATAACAGAGGAAATGGAATTAATCGATGAATAAATTATATTTGTTTACAGATCGTGTTGCAATCCCGCGACTACAATGCCCTGTCGATGTCCGTAATGGCGTTCGTAACGATGATTTATCCTCTGGAGTATATGTTCCCCGCGATACCATTGTTACCCACGTGCATGAGCTGCGCGGAACAGTTGTTGCTTGCACCTACACCATTTGTTATCGGAATACCCGCTACTTTTTTATTGTTCAAAACGAACTTTAAAATGCCCGATGACATTTGGCTAGTGGATCTAGACAGCAATAAAATAAACGCACCTACTGGTCTGGGTGATCAATTGCCCCCATTACCCGAACCAGAAGGCACCGTACTAAAGAACCACTTGAAACAGGTAAATAAATAGACATTTATCACGATCAAAATTAACCCTTTCGCAGCCTAGCGAATAAAAGATTAGGAAAAAAGAAGACTGAAGAATTAAAAAAATTAAGAATTAAATAATTCCAAAATTAATTGCAAATAAATTCCGAGATTTTTTTTTGTAGGTTTCCATATAGGAAAATTTATTATTTATTGTCGCATCGACTAATATGGGTCATTAGCGACCGCAATTACATTACATAAGCTAGTACAATCGTACAATATGTATACTCATTATTATTATTATTATATGTTTATGCGTATGCATTTGTACGTATGTATAAACGATAAACTACGTAGGAAAATTCTATACACTGCAAATTTTACGAATCGACGAATTAAGAATTAAAAAATCGTGAAGCTGATTATTATTGGAGAATTTTCAGATATTTCTGCAGCACTGCGTTTAAATCATTGAAAATTTCATACACAATTCTTATTTATATACGTAAATGAAATGTTTGAACCATGGATGACAATAATATTGTATTATTATATAATGTACGTGATATATTCATAATATATAACAATTCAAATTAAGTAACAAATACGTAACTTATAATAGATAAGGCTATTACTGTGACTTTAATGTTAAAGTGTAATATCGTATCAAAAGCTGCGAAGGAGTTAATATGACAAAAATTAGAAAAAGAGACGAAATATACTCTAGTATATCTCTCTACGGTAGACAACAATATTGACAATGAAACACGTTGATTTAATCATTCCTCGTTTAATCGGTTCCGCAGGCAATGCAACTGATGGACCAAACCGGCTCTGGTGTAAATATTTCATTTATCCACTCTTTGCATGAACCATAAATATATAGGTGATACATTCCTTGTGTTGTAGTTAGCGGCATGGACTAATTTTGCCTCATATACCTACGACAAGTAGATTTTATTTTTTTATTTGATTATTCCTCCTTAGAGGATACAGAGCACGTGTTATTTCCGTTTCAAGGGAAGGAACCGGAAGCTTTTTAGAGACTACGATCTAGGAAGTGTAGCATAGTTATAGAATAGACGGAGTAGACGTAGTTGCTTAAACAATATGACAAATTCTCAAACGCGAGCTCTTCATGGGAAGATACCTAGAAAATTGTATTATTATTCTGCGTTTTTCTTATTGGATGGTATTTCTTTTTCTAGGCAATGGCTAGTATGTCAGTTCCGCAAACACTTTCGCAAGACACTTCTCCGAGGACTTCTCTGCAAGCTCCAAGTAGAAGGGAGAGCCTAACTTCTCATTTGTCCACTTTAAGGTTGGCAATTTTATTAATCCTATTAGTTTCTTTAATATTTGCAACCCTCGAACCATATTTCGTATTTTATGGTGAGTGTTGTTATAATGAAGATAATGATATTTTATGGGTACCAATCCAGTAGGTTAAATTCAATGGTTGTTCGTAATTTTTCTATAGTTATATATATGGTAGATTGTTCAAAAAGTTTCAATATATTTTTTGATGAATTTTTACCGTCCATGGGTTTATCATAGCGTCATGATTTTTAAAGAAAACTCCACCTTGTTCAATGAATGTTTTTGTAATTAATAACGTAAAATCTGTAGATAAGAAATGTTTAGTTTGTTCTAGTTAAGCATTTTATTCCTTTCCGTTCTTATGTTTCTTTCTGCTGCCTCTTATCCCTTCTTTATTTCATCTCTATTTTTATTCGTTCCAATCTTTATTCTTTTCGATTTACCTTTTCTATGCTTTTAGTTTAAGCTTTCATCCACCTTACTCTTATTTCAATATCAATTTCAACTTTCTTTTATACCTTCGTGAATACGAAGCGCGTTAATGCGTTTACTGCTGATTGAATTTTTACTTTGTACTATTCTTTTACCTCACAGAATAAAAGAGAATGTTTCACAACTGAATATCGAATGCGATAAAATCAATACGAATAAAAATAGTAGGATTGAATTTAAATAAGAGAAGGTTTAGAGACCAATAACCAGACAATTATAAGAAAATTGATAGAAAATTTAAAATTGAAAAAAACACGCGGAATTCATAATAGACAGAAATAGAATATTCAAAGTATTCTGATCACCATGACAATACCTAGCAGAGTGAGGCAAAGTTCTGCTTAAGTGTCATTTCTTCAATTGCATTCATAAAAATATGAAAATTGCTCACAGTGTGTCGTCAATGAAGCACAGACCTAGCGTCGACCATCATCCGAGTCCGGCGAGTTCTCCAGGAGCCAGCGCGGCTTCCGGTCATCGTCGCTCCTCCATATCTCAGTCAGCGGGTTCTTCGTCACCTCAAAAACCATTCTCTTCCCAAACCATGCAATCTTTCAACCCATTCATTTATGGAAACGACGTGGACTCTGTAGACGTGGCTACGAGAGTGGCCATGGTGCGTTTCTTCAACTCTCAGAACCTTCTGGCGAACTTCACCGAGCATACGAGGACACTCAGGCTATATCCGAGGCCTGTAGTCGCTTTTCAGATCAATTCTTTTCTCCGATCAAGGCCACGGACCAGTCATTTCTTGAATAAGTTCGCTAGAACTCAGGCGGTGGAATTTTTGGCTGAATGGTCGCTCACTCCGAGCAACGTGGCGTTCTTGAGAGTGCAAACAGGGGTGTTTGACCCAGCTCAAATCGGAGACAAGCCAAAGTGGTACGCCTCGAATTTAGAACCTATTTATTTCCCTGTTTGGGACAACGGTAGCTCGTTAGCGAACGCTTTGAAGGCAATGAAGGAACACGAGAGTCAACCGACTGACGAAAGCGGGTCTGACTCGGAAGGTGCTGAGAGTACGAGTTCCTCTTATTCGTCGCTGAGCGATTTTGTATCCGAGATGGTGTCGTCCGACTTGTCTCCAAGTGAGTAGCCGTAATTAACAAATAAATTTTTTAATTTAATATGCAGTGTAAATGTAATCAAACGCAGTTTTAATGTAGAAAATGATTGTTATAGTATTTAGGAATTAGAATTATGTAACTAAATCTCGGTCATGTGAGATGAGTTTCGATTCTCCATTTCTTTGATTGTGTCCACAAACACATGAATTTACACAATATCTGCAGTTAAATACAATTTTATGAATCGTTTGTGTTTGACAGAACTGGTATACTGAAATTGTTAGAGATGGAAGTAAACGAGTGTTGGTAAAAGCTGTGACGTTTAAGAAGCATCATACTTAAATAGGAAAAAATGTAACGTCAATTAGGATTGTATACTCTTATCTGAAATTTTCTAATGATGGAATCATAGGAGAATCTAGAATGAATTTTAATTTAATTCATTAATAATTCTATTTCTTAATCGGATATAATTTGTTTTACAGGCTACAATTGTTCACACGCGGCGCAGCCTCAACCAATGTCCCTGTCTGTGGACCCAAAGAACGTTTACGATCCACCCAGTTCATTGCGATATCCTGGAGTGGACGAAGAATCGACAGTGAGGCCAGAAAGTCCTTTGAGCACTTCCTCCAGTCACAGTGACCTAAGCAGTCCTAGTTTCAACAGGGACTCTGAGTTCGAGTTAAACCCCAAAGTTCAAGAAGGTTCACAGTCAACCAATGTGAGTATTTTTAAAAATATATATGTACTTAATTCTGCTTACTTTTGTTATTAATTTGCAACTAATGCTACACTTATCAATAGTAATTTTCTTTCCAACAGAATTTACCAGAGTAGCAGAATCCTAGATTAATTTCTTTCTTTAAATTTCTGACTTTTACTTCACACATAATGGTCCTTCATTCTCAAATGAAACTTTGGTCGCTAGCATACGTAATTTTCTGCTTAGGATCATTCCAAAATTATATTCTAAATTTATCCTTGCTACGGAGTAATAAGAAAAAGAAGAGTTAAAAATTGTATCTTTATTCCAAAATCTTAAATCTTTTTATTCAAAAGAGGGAACCTGAAATCTTATCTTTCTCCTACAATTTTTAATTCTTCTTTCGTATCATTCTATCTATACGAATCTCATTATACATAGAACATCCCGTATCAATCTCCAACACGAAGCAACTCTTAAAAAACTGCTAAACTATCGACAAAATAAAAGTATCCTCATTACGCTCGACGTCCTAACAAAGTGCTTAATCATAGGATAAAGAGGAGGGTGGTAGCTTTGAGTCAGACTCAGCGTCCACGATAACACCACGCACAATCCTGAGCGCACAAAGTTCAGTAGGACAGTTTGGAGTAGGGAAGGGGCGTTCTTTAGCGACTCCGAGCATCGGCGACACCGAACGTCCTGCCACATCCCACAGGACTTCTCGCGTCAGTAGATATGTCGTTCCTGTGAGTTCATCCTTCATTGGTGGTCTATTGACTGGTGTAACATCTGTCGACTACTTTCTATCGATTTTTGTTTGTTTTGATGTTGTTTTGAACTTTGCATGCGGTATATCATCGAAAAGCAGCAGATTTTCCACTCGATGTGTTCAGCATGGAAAACCCCCTTTTTCATGGCCGTTTGACATTTCCTTATCGAGTTATATAAACGAGTTACAAAGACTCCTTTTCATTTCATTTTCACTTTCATTTATCGTTCGATGTTCGATATCGCTCAAATAATTTCTTTTCCTTTGGATAATTTTTCACTTGTCAATCTTTGTTCTAAGTATGAGGTATGAATGTATTTAAAGTTTTTGAAACTTCTTTAGAAGTTTTTCATTGAATTTTATATGGTATAGATTTATTTTGCCTCTCGATGCTTTTTTAGCGATTTCTTTTAAAATTTCAAAGTATAGATCTGTCTTATTTTTTGAAGCCTTTTTAGTGTTTTTTCTTGGAATCTTATAATATAGATTTCCTCTATCTCTAATGTTATCTATTTTCCGATATCTGTTGATTCTTTCTGCAATTCTATAGTATTGATTTTCCTTATTCTTCTACGTTTCTCTAGTGTTTTCTTTCAGAATTTCATCATTCAAACATCTTTTTCTTTCCACTTATTTGGTTTTTACTTTCGTAGTGGAAATTTCTTCTTCTTTCTTATATTTCTCTCCTAAGATTCATTTAAAGCATTTTTTAAATCGTTTTGGTATTAAAAAGACTTGTATGTATTATTTGTATGTGATTTACAAAACGTTTCGTTGATAAAACTGTCCCAATGTAGTTCATTCATATGTTTATTATCGTATCAATATTTTACGAATAAATTAGGTCAAATGCATGGTATTTTTTTCACTCCCAAAAATTATAATGTCACAAAATTGAAGTTAACAACATCTATGACATTTCATCAAAGCTGTATGTAATATAAACCTTCGTCTCAAAGCATCAATTATCCTTCCAGATCAATCGGTCTCAACTTATTTTAACCCTTTGCCTTATAATTTAATAACAAGTTAAGTCAGACTACGAAGAGTTGTGTCATCTTTGCTTAATCACCTTTTTTTTTATTTATAACATCACTTCAGAATGCCACTATCCAATTATATGTATACAACAGAGAATATTGTATGAATAATCGTCTCCACACGCCTGTTTTCTAGGAAATTTTAAAGACGACTGACTGCTTCCTCTATTTAACTGTCGCCTGGCAAACGCTTGATTATTATCACGTCAAACGAGAAGAATTTCTATCTGCATATTAATGATAAAATTGTTCGCGCAGTTTTATAGAATTGTAGAGGATTGGTCTTATCAGATATCACGAAATACAGATTACTGTTTGTGAGCAATTTACTTAAGATATTAATTCGACACAAAACACAAGTCCAGATATAATAACTTTCGCGAAATAAATACGCGCGGTCTCAAGAAACTCCGTATATACGTCTGATACGTCTGTACGCTTATACTGCGATCGCTAAACTTCCTCGCTCGTCATTTCGTTTGTTTATTTATACTGGTCGGGGGATAGTCGGAAAGTTTGAACTCGACTACGTTTGACGTAGCGGCGACATTGTTTTGCTCGGAGTTCATTGCTCCTTGCAACACCTGTGACCTAATGGTCACGATACTCTGAAACAAAACAACAACAGGATTTGAATTTGTCCTGCTCGCGTGGCGCTACAGAATAATGACACGTCAGTGTACAGTATAGAAAGTAAGGAACGTAAAATATCTGCATTTGTTAGAATTGACCCAGCCTCCACCGTCGAAGGATTGATCAATATCTCAGACTTCGATAAAGAACGTCTTTTTAAATTTTACAGCGATACATGTAGCTTTTAACATTCCATACTTTGACTATCAAATAAGTATTTTAATATGTAATATTATAAATGTCTCATTTGAAAATATTTTATTTAAACTTCATTCTTCATGTACATACGTATGTAGTATCGCCTTTTTCTTCACTTACGTTACTCTGTGTATTTATATTTACTTTCCTCTCTTAAATATCTTATTTCTTGTCTTTTGGATCGAAACCTTTTTACATAACGATCTTTATCTGTCTTTCGATGTTATTCGATATTACATAAATATATGTCGGAGATGAAAGGAAAGCCGAAGCCTTTCCTTGGAAATTTTGGGAACATCCTCTAATACTCTAGATTTTATCATAGCTGTAGTTAAGCAATTGTTGTCATTCATAGAAAACAAATGCAATCGTACAGCGTGGAAAATTTCCAGGAGGCTGGCATTCGTGCGATTGCCTTGGAGAGTGACACATCGAGCATTTCAACAATCGTATTTTGCGTCTAAAACTAGTCTACGCTTAGTAAAGAGTTATCCCGTTGATCCTGGATTCGTTTGAACCCAAGAACATTGTTAATAGCGTTCATTAAACTTATTATTTGTAAAACATACTATTCATTAAACTTACTATTCGCTAAACTTATTATTCATTAGACTTATTATTTGTTAAACTTATTATTCGTTCAACTTATTATTCACTAAATTTATTATTCGTTAAACTTATTATTCGTTAAACTCTAATATTCGTTAAACTTTGTAGTAGTCTTGTATATACGTGTAAATATAATCTCTGCTTTGTAAAACAATGGCTGATTCGAGTGAAGAGTTGTTACGCGCCCAAAATTTTAACCATGACCCGACATATATATAAATTCGATATTATACGGCAAAGGGTAGAACTTGTATAATATTCTATCGATAGAAATTTCCAAAAAATTAACCATTATCGTATCTAACAATTGAGTCAAAAGTTAACAAATCTACAGAAATTCTCCCTTAAATTAAAGAAGGAATTCTTCCTCTATTTCGTCTTTCGATATTTAAATGTATGTGTATGTAAAGTTGAAAACTGTTCGGCCTTTCTTCCCAAAAGGATCTTTCTCCAAGAACAAGCGTCTTCTTCAAAAATATTCGATAAATCCTCAAAATAGCTTACGATAATTAATGTTATCCATTATTTGTGTTATTTCAAAGATTCAACCAAGTGCGGCAAGTCTGCAGCGTCACCCAAGTGTGGGTAACGTTTTAGCAAGGACGTCGAGCTTTGGAGCAGGACCATTTTCCCGACAGACGAGTAGTAACAGTAGCAACGAAAGTGAATCGTCGATGGTTTCTCGACAATTATCTGTGAGTACTAGTGGACAGAAGCAGGCCGAAGGTTTACCAAGACAAGCTTCCAGTGTGACTGGAAATGGTGTGTTAAGACAAGGTTCTCAAGGATCGTTGTTAGAACAAATAGCGAGCCAGGCGAAGGATTTGGTCCGTGAAACTAAGAGACAGAGCAGCCAGGATGGAATTCTTGCTCAGATGGATAAGGTATCTTTGTGACTTTGAATATTGTGAATATTCGGAAATCATGGGATTTTAGATGTGACAGAATTTGATTGAAGAACGATCACGTTTAATGCTTTTTAAATTTTAATAATGTCCATGATGGTTTAAAATTCTAACAGTATGGTTAATGATTTGTACGGAAAACTTAGGGCTTTTCAGGTTATTATTGCTATCCTCATCATTACCTATACCTTTATTTAAGATTCTTCCGAGAATAATCATACCAGCCCCAAATACTTTTGATATTAATTACAGTACAATTACCTTATAATTTATTTTCCTTGAAAACTTCCCATAACCTTTTTCTATATACAATTGCAGCTTCTTTCTTTTTGTTTTATAGTTGAAACATCAGGCGAAGGAGAAGATTACAGAGGCCGGTGAAGACAGTCTTTTCGCGCCATTGGAACAAGTGAGTCTTTATCTCAAAACATTAATTATAATATCTAAATTAAGCCATATAATTATAATACTTAAATTGAATAGAAAATATTTAATTTTTCGTTTAAATATTAAACAGTTGACGCAACAGACGAAGAAAGCCATGGGGGAGGCAACAAAATCTGTTCAAGAAGCTTCGAAGAGCGCTTTGGAAGCTAGTAAAACCGCGGCTGGAGTCAGCAAAAATACATTCGATGATTTAACGTACGTAAGCAAGAGCACTTTTGGAGACTTGACGAAAAGTGCCAAAGAGGTTGCTGCGAAGAAAGGTTTACTCAAGGTACGCCGCAATATTATTAATGACGCATTTCTTCATTTCTTTCAATTTGGAAATCTTTTAAACTGATTCATTCACTGGATTAATCAGGATCTCTCTTTCAAAAAGTTTCTAAAGAAACTGTGAAGACACTTCAAAGTTCCAAAGAAATTCCCAATAAATCTTATAAGAATAGCGCAAATACTTGAAACAAACTTTAAAAGTTTATGGATACAGAGAATATACGCTAAATAGGAATATTCAAAATAGAAAGTTTCTTTTAAAGGGAACTGAACAGTTTAATTTCAAGTAAAAGAACCGTCTTTGAAAATCAACATTCTAAAAAAGAAATTTTACGAAATGAAATTATTTAGGGCCTTGGCGATACGCAGCATTCACCCCCATCGCCTCCGGGAATGTTGCAACGAAGAGATTCGAGTAGCACGCAACTGGTCGCTTCGGATAACCGCGGAGGGCGCCGGGAAATCGGACGTGATTTTTTCAGCAATATTAGTAGTGATTTAAATGGCATCGCTACGCAAACGAGCAACATGTTTAGCGATCTGTTTGGTACGTTTAATCTCTTCTTTCTTATTTATTGTACAAATACAATTCAAGAAGTTATACAAAAGATAAAAAATATATAAAATAAATCTTTTCAATTCATTTTACACTTGTAGGTAGTAAAAGTAGTTCTAGTCGAAATACCGGCTTCCCTCAGTCCCAAAAGGCGGATAAGAAGACACCATTACTCGGACCTTTCCCTAAAAGTATTTATTATCCTTTTTCAATCTCGACTGATTGAAAATTAATTTCTGACTCTTTAAATTGTTTCGTCTTATTTAGGTAAGACAGGATTGGTCGAACGCTCGTCATTGATAAAACACTCGACGAATAAAGCCAATCAGGAAGATATTCAGAGGATGCAGAATGCAGAGAGATCTAGTACAAATAGTGACAATCAAGCTTTCCTGACGGATGTAGGTTTTTTCATTTGATAATATTTATTTTGCTATATTACGCAGGATTAGAATTAGGATTCAATTATAAGAGAGACATTTTATGAATTCATATCAGGTGGTGAATCAGGTGATAGCCGGCGAAGGCGTTGGTTGGCTAAAACTGAATAGGCTGAAGAAACTAATGGAGGATGAGAGCTATCGAGATCTGGTGGTGACGAAACTGAATAAGGGTCTTCATAAGAAGATTAGTCCTGACGATCATATCGACGATGTGGTGAGTGTAATTTGTACAAAACCTTCATGATGTATATATATATATATGGTCATAATGTCAATTTCAACATTCATGAACTTCTCTTCGTTCCGCTTTCTATCAACAGTGTATCTCGAAACCAGTTTACAAGGGAATGCTAAAGTGCCTTCAAGCAGTGGCTCACGGTCTTGGACACACTTACAATAACTTCGGTTTAGGTGGAATGGCGTCAGTCTTCCAGCTGTTGGAGATTGCACACACTCATTATTGGAGTAAGGATCTTTCAGAGGGTGGTTTCGATAGTTCACTAATGTCTCAAGTATGTACCACTCGTTATAAATTATCTATCTTGCTTTGTGTTATCGATCTTATGATTCAATTCTTTCTAATTCTTTGCGACTCCTCCAGGCATCTAGCCCATTTGGCAGCAGGGAAAATTTGAAGTCTCCACAGTCTCCTGTACAGCCCGAATTTTCGAAGTCAGGTAAAATAGAACACGATAAATTGAACTCAAAAGACTTGAAATTTTAGAAATTCTAATTAAAATATATTAGTGATTCACTTAATCGTCGTTAGGATCTTTTCAAATAGAAAAATATAGAACGACGTGAATTTTAATGTATCCCATGTTACATTATAAATTACAGTTTATTAATATTCCAAGTCTGAGTTGATTCTAACACTATAAATATCCTTTGATTGAAGATACGTCTCAACTTCATTTGGATATGTCACACGGCCACGCACCACCGGCCAACGAAGGGAGCCAATCGACGACGGACACGTTCTTCGATGTGTTCACGAAAAAGGGAAAGTTCCTCAGCAGGCTAACGTCCTTCGACTCTGAGGTAAAAGCAACGAGTTCCGTCAGAACGTTACCTCGTGGCATACGAAGGTAGCAAAGGTGTTTTTCTCTACATGGTCTCACTTTCTGTTTACATTTCACGTGTACAGCCCGACAACTATAAAGCTTACCAAAACTATTCTTACAGAATGTTTCGTTTCCCTTGTACGCTTTCATGTATAATATTTTATATTCTAGATTTTTCATATATTTTTTCTTCTTTTTTATTGCAAGCCATATAGAAAGGTGTACAAAGAAGATATTTGATTTCACGGAAAATGTTTCTATTTTCTATGATACCTTTTCTCCTGATTAAGAATTTTAGAAGATCGTAGATCAATCAAATGTATTAAATTTATTTATAAGTTAAACGCATTGATGGCTTTAAAGAATTCATACATATTTGAAACGGCATAGGACACAAAATTATTAAACGTTTGAAAGCGTAGGTGAACGAAAGGCTCTGTAGGATTAAATAACGACGAAACAGTTGTTGAAATTGTAGAGGATTGATCTTTTCGGATATCACGAATAACAGACTAACTGTTTGCCAGCAATTTATTAAAGATATATATTCTCTATAAAATTGATTTGACACAAGGCACAAGTCCAGGTATAGTAAGTCTTACGAAATAAATACGCGCTATCTCAAGAAACTCCGTGTATACGTCTGATACGTCTGTACGCTTATGCTGCGATCGCTGAACTTTCTCGCTCGTCATTTCGTTTGTTTATTTATACTGGTCGGGGGACAGTCGGAAAGTTTGAACTCGACTGCGTTTGCCGGTTGAACGTAGCGGCAACATTGTTTTGCTCGGAGTTCATTACTCCTTGCAATACCTGTGATCTAATGGTCATGATACTCCGAAACAAAACAACAACAGGATTTGTATTTGTCCTGCTCGCGTGCCGCTACAAAATTAAAACTTCCTATGTATTATCTCCCTACGATGGACAAATGGGTGTTGTTTCCGTTAAATACACAGGTACACGTAATTGCATGAGAGATTGTTATACGTAATATTGTCAAACGATAAGTATTGCCCAAGAATAGTGATCAGTAATATTAATCCACGAGCTTAGAGGAACACAGCGCACTACAGGAAATAATTCAGAACTATATAATACATGAATATCAGACCAAATAAAACTTATGAAAATTCTTTATACACCTAACATTTCGCATAAACAGTAATAAAATACTATATTTTTCCTCCAACAGTTAATATACAAATTTAATATTCGGAATTCTTGCGAGATTGAAAAGTCCATAAATCTTTTAAATTGATTCGCAATTGTTAATAATAAATAAAACAGAAATTAAGATAAGAGAAAGAAAAAAAAAGTTGCAAGTAGTAAGTGTGCTATATAGAGGCGTCATGTGTTTTTAGAGTGGGCGGGGAGGTGGAACAGGAAGCAGCGAAGCTTTATCCACAGACGGAGGTAGCATAATCACTAATCCTGCTTTTCGGCAAGCGCACCAGGCGTCTTTCCGAAGCACTGTCTCTGATAGCGAGGTCGAACAAGGCAATGTAAATTGATCACTAATTAGTCTTTTCTTTTTTTTTTAATATGCTAATTAACATAGAATATTTTAAAATAGTTGTTAGCAAAACTAAACCAGGTTTATCCAGATGAACGACCTATGAACTTATGCAACAACAAGCCTCTATATTACATGTAGTGTACATATAAGGTGTGGCATCAATTAATCACCATGATAATATTTGAGCCAGTTTTGATAGTATAATAAAAAGAGTACTTCAAATGAAAATTTATTGATTTTAATCTAAATACAATTCAACGCTGCGACTAAAATCTCATTTTCTCTTTATTCACAGTCTACATTACATAAAATCATTGATTGGCCAAATTGTTGTGTTGTTAGTTACTTTAAAGAAACGTTTAGTTAGTTTTAAGAAAATAATAATTAATTTTTGAGAAATGGTCATTCTCGATGATCTTTCCTCCAGAAGAATATTGTCTAGACAAAACGAATATTCTTAGATAAAACAAAGATCAACGTAACATAACTTCGGTTTCTTTTTACGAGTCAAAGATACTCTTTTTTGTGTATCCATAAAATGTTTCATTTAATATCAATGAACTTTGGTTTGAAATATTTCTTTGCTAAATTATCGGAACGAGTTCAAACATCGTGGCAATTAATTTGTGTCACACTCTGTATGTAAAATATGTAGCTAAGAAAGTTTTATAGTTTAATATATAGAGTTCGTACATAATTCTAGTTGAGAGTCGATGGAAAAAGAACGCAGAGCTTGTGCAATACTTGCATTTTGTCAAAGTTTGCGAAACATTGAATTACAATGAATCATTTGAAAAGAAGATAAAGTTAAGATTAGCTAAAGAGAACGGTAGTGAACAGCATGTTCTGCATCTACAATCACTAGATTAGCGTTTGCACTAATGAAAAGATGAAGCTTTTGTAATTGCTGTTAGTACACGATGAAACACACGATTAGCTTTCTATAGTTAAGAAAGTTGTGTTTGATGAAAATTAGGCATTCTTTGAAAATTTTTTGGCGAAGAAGTATTCTACTACTTTCTACTCTTTCTATTAAATTAATATTCTAAATTAATTACCTTTTCTACTAAAGGGAATTAATTATGTATATATACTTTATATAAGAAGAATGTTAACAAATTGAGTTGTGTGTGTGTCAACAAATTGAATCTATGTTTCTTTATTTATACACTTTGTACGTACCTGACAAAAATTGTCTTGTAGTATAAAAATATCTTACTGAATATACAAAAAATTTTACAGTTTTCCTAAAAATAATTCTTAAAGAATGTCTAATTCGTTGTGCGTCAAATTAAGCGGCCATTTAAGTAAAATACAAGATTAACATGTATAACACTTCATCGCTTGAAAATACTCCTTGTTACAGTAGTGTCATTGCACCGAGATATTAAAATTCGCGTAGTTTTCTATTGTATGATCCTTTGAAGCTTCCCTTTAATCGTAGATAGGAATAATCAAGCTTACCTATTTGGGAAAACTCTAGACAAAGGTCGACAGCCTTTATCGATTTGACAAACAACGAATAATAAGCTTTGGAGAAACCGTTTAGAAATTCTTACATTACATCATGATTTCAGTTTTCAAGACAACCGAAGCAACGAACGGGAAGTGTTTGGTCGAGCAAGTCTTCCTTGAGCACCGGTTTCCGGTACCATGGAGGAAGCTTGGTACCAACCATGGCTGCTCCTAGTCCAGAAGCTGCAAGAACTTATTTGTTCGAAGGTACGGTATCACTAAACCTGTCAGTATTAGATAAATAAGTATTAAATAAATAGGTAAATATGAATCTCTATTTAGATATCTCTTATTGCAAAGTTTACCCTCAATCTATCAATATTGTTTGCTGTATTCTCTTTAATAAAATTGACTATACAGGTTTACTGGGTAAAGAAAGATCGTCGCTTTGGGACCAGATGCAATTTTGGGAGGATGCCTTTTTGGACGCAGTGTCTCAAGAAAGAGACATGATCGGCATGGATCAAGGTCCTAGAGAAATGATGGAAAGGTTAGCTCCTGCAATAAAGATGATAGATAAAGATTTCGGATGGAACGTTTTCCAGCAAAATATAAACGTTTCATTTTGGGTTCACATTCAGGTATAAGAATTTGAGCGAGAGCGAAAAGAAACGACTGGAGCATGACGAGGATAGACTACTGTGCACCCTATTGCACAATTTGACGGCGATTTTAGTGATGCTGAACGTGAATAAGGACGAAGTGAAACGGAAAGTAAGGAGGCTATTGGGAAAGAGTCATATTGGTCTGATCTACAGTCAGGAGCTCAATCAACTTCTCGACCAAATACACAATCTCGTAAGTAGAATATGCATTTTCCTAGTTGTATAGTAAATTATTAGAAATTCTAAAAATTCTCTAGAATACCAAAGAATTTGAAATATTGCCTAGAACGATGGACAAAATTTCAAAGATTTCATAGGATATTAGAATGTTCTAAAGATTTTTTGAAGTATTGCAAAACGCTGAGAATTTTTTAAATCACTGGCAAAAGAAAAAGAATTTTCTTAAAGTAATAAACAAACTCGAGGACTTCTTAGAGTACTGGAAAATTCTAAAATTTTTCTAAGGTACTGAAACATTCGAAAAAATCATTAAAATCTTGAAACATTTTCAAGGACATTAAACAGCTGAAAATCTCTTACGGTAGTAAAGAACTTGAAAGAGTTTTAGATCAAATTCTAAGAATATCGAAGAGTAACCTACAAAGCTTTAAATAAAATTCTGCGAGATTAAATCCTGATGTCGAAGAATTCGAAAAATGTACAATGTGAAAAAATTCTATAAATTTCCCGAAGCGTAAGAAAATTCCAGCTAAATGGTGTTTCACGTTTCAGTATGGGAACGATATAGATTTGAAGCCTCTGACATCCAGACAAATGCATCGTCAATCTTTCACCGTGCACGCTGGAATCGATGCAGAAGGTGATCTACGATTTCTCGAGGTACGCCACGATGGACTTGTCCTGAGATCTGTGAACGGCGTGATCGTGGAGCGATGGTGGTATGAGCGTTTGGTGAATATGACTTACAGTCCGAAGAACAAAGTATTGTGCCTTTGGCAGCGAAATGGCGGGCAAACTCAGCTGCATAAGTATTATACTAAAAAGGTACGCAGTGTACAATGTTACAAATTCAAAGAAAAATTTCAATGCATTTTTTAATTTACAGAATATATGTAGAGGATAGTTAGTACGTGAGGTTTAAAGGACGAGATTGCTCGTTGTTGAAACCGTCGAATATATTTAAAATAATAAATTAATGTACAGCCTTATACGTGAGTCGTTAGTGCAAATTATAAATAGCAAAATAAAATCGCGGGGGGTAAATACTCGTTAATTCGATAAAGACTCGTAAGATACTCGGAGATACTCTAAATACTGTTAGATACTCCGTACCGTGTGTACTGTGTGAAAATTTGAATTCGTCTTCGTTCGAGGGTTGCATGTAGCGGCAACACTGTTTTGCCCGGAGTTTGTTTATCGTTACATTTCTGCGTCAAGGCAGAGTCAATGTCCTGAGGCAAAACAACAGCATGAGTCGCTCTCGACTCGCGTCGTCCTTTGATTCCTGTGTCGCTACATATACATACAATAATACAAAAATAAAATAAAATTCGTAGGATCAAACATGTTTACTATGTAGAAATAAATATTCTTATATCGCTATATAATAGAAAATTTTGATTCCATATATAAATATAAATATTTTATTCCTATGTATATTAATATCATTATTCTATAATTAAATCATTTATAATGTTTCCTACAAATTGAGGATTGTTAAATAAGTGTTCATTCACTGTGTGACCAAACTCATTTTGTAATTGATCCATAGCTAATTCCTTCTAAATCGAGGACCCTTTAATAGTTTAATACTTCGTTATAGGTCTCTTTTGTTAACGATGACCTTTACAGACCCCATTTGTCTCCAATAAACAACAAAATAAAGCGTGTAATGGATTTAACGCGTGGTCACTCTTGTAACTAACAAGCGATTCATATTGCTTATGCATTTCTGTTCATAAATATTAGGATACTTTCTGGTATCACAGATACCTGAGAAGATAGCTACTCAAATAACGATCTTAATCATCTTTCATGGTCACTTTATTGTCGCAGAAGCATGGAAATTATATCATGGATGTGTACAGGCCTGATTGTTAACTAGGATGTATATGTAATTAAGCTTTACAAATCCATCTATCGTTATGATACAAGTAATATATCCAGAAGATATATTACGTATATTAGATATATTAGTATATTCAAAAATTCGAAGTGGTTTGTCTCATACACCTTTCGATTACATTATGAAACTAACCACTCAATTAATTAAATCCATGATATAGTAAATATTCATAATAGTAGTAATAAAGGAAAATAATAAAAGAAAGTTACATTTTCCTCTCTGTATCTAACCTTTAATCACTTAGAAAACAAAATTTTTCAGAAAAATTCGCTAAATGTGCAAAAGAAAGTGAAAAAATTGAGTTCTAGATAAATAAATTAATGAAACAATCAATTTTTAGTGCAAGGACCTATACTACTGCATAAAGGATGCAATGGAAAAGGCAGCAGCCCGCGGCCGTGGAATGAACTTGGATATCGAACTCGGCGGCGAGTTTCCAGTTCAGGACATGCGCACCGGCGAGGGTGGGCTTCTTCAGGTTTGCATGGAGGGCGTGGGTCTCCTCTTCGCGAATAGCAAGGTATGATTCGCACCCAAAAGCGTGCACCAAGCGTGTTCATTCGTTTCAAACCGAAACTGCAAGAAGAATGGAATCTTCGAACTTTTAACCGGTTGTTGCAAACACCTGTTTTCCTATCTCTATCTCTATCTATCTATCTTTTCTTTATACATTGTCCAATTGTTCATGTAATGTTGAAAACGCATCCAAAGTTTTCCACCATTCTATTGGGTATATTATACTACTATATTATATCCGTCCCTTTATTATCTATAGCGAACTTTTTTACTTATATCCACTACTGTTTTTTGACTATATACGATGTCATGTTTTTTTTTGGCAATGTTACTGTCTCGACTATAATATGTTCCAACACAAAGTATAATCATGTATTTATTTCAGCGACCGAAAAATACATATGCAGTCTGAGAATTTGTTACGGGGGTTAGTTTGTTAAATTGCCTCGATTCAATTTCGTAGAATTAGTAAAAGAGAAATTTCGTTCTATTGAGCGAAGGTAGAATTGGGGAGCTTTCTAGAAAAGTCCGGGTTCGTAAGGTAAAATAGTGGGTCTAGTTCGAATTTTTGGTAATGTTTTTAACGTGTTTCAATCAATATATTGATTATAAGATTTCTTAACTCGTCGTTTGGACTAACGATTTCTTCAATAAAATGACCTTTTTATCTAGAGAATCTCCCATATTCTTACGAATAACTTTATTTTCATTAAAAATAAATTTCATGTCATACTTAAATTTCCAAGGATTAAAACCCACCTACAATAACTTGTATTAATATTCGAACATTTCAAACATTTTTACAACATGAAATTTATGTCTTATCTAAAAATAAAATCGTCACCTATGTATTATGTTATAGACCCTTTTTTCAAAAAGCTTCTCAATTAATGTCGAAAAAGAATCGGTAGTCAAAGAGATTAGTTCCTTCAGAAAATGAAAGAATTGAATCGAGGCGAATGTTAGGGGAGCAAACCACAGAAGCTCCATCCCAGAACCACCCCTTAAGCCCCTTTTATTCTTTATACTTTTCCGATATTATTGAATCTTCTCTCTGTGTATTACTTTTTCGTTCCTTTCTTCCGTTTTATTGCATTGATGCAAGGACCACTCAATATTATCTCCCATTGCTAGCCACCACGATCTGCTTAATTTTGTATCTGTACGTATTATTATATCTTTACCGACTCTTATGTATGAGTTTGTGAGGTGTACGACGATCAAAATAGGATCACACGAAGCTCTGACCGCCTAAAGAGAAATCTCCCTTTCGATTCAGAAACTTTTTCTCTCACGAATCCTTCCTCGTCGCAGGAACGAGAATAATACTTACATTGTATTGTAATATGTAATTATATGAAAGGGGAAATTAGAATCTTTTTTCAGGCTGCTATAGTTCGAAACACGAGACAAATGTCACACATACGAGACACATGCACACGAGGGGGACGAATGGGACCGATGCGATGATGGAAGAGCAGAGGGAAGATCAAGATGTTGATTTAGTTCAATTAATCCAGATATTATTGACACATTGCCGACCAATCGAGGAAATCTCTCATTTCGTTTAACGACATGATAAATAATAAAGTTAATAATAAAGTTAAGTTAATAGATGAATCGGTAGGATTCATGAAAAAAGGTAATCTTGTCAACATTTATATTTCTCGAGATGAGCAAGAAGATATATTACGAACTTTGACTTTTTATTGGCACGATAGAATTTAATTTTTCATTGTTTTTCATTGGTCCAATAGATCTCAATTATTTTAAACGTGATATTCACACGTAATTATAGTATTACTCAAGGTATCGCAAAATAATTACATCTTCAACTAAATTATGAATTATTAGAAAGACAGATTAAAAGAGCAAACAATGGAATATTAGAAATATCAATATTCTTGGCATAAATCGTTTAAAGACATAAAACAAGGACATAAAGGCTATTCTGGTGAAATATAATTTTGACAAAGATTGTTTGAATACATTAAAAGATTTTTCATCCTATAACAAATCATAAGCATTAAGTACATGTATTACTTCTGTTAGATCTGTTGTATTTCATTTATGTTAGATCATATTTTATAGTATTGGCTCCATCATTTATTGAATCCCATTTCTAATGATTACGATGGTAGATTATTTAAAAAGTCGAAAGATTTGACAAGATCTACCTTTGTTGTGAATCTCATAATTGTTAACATGTGAATTCGAAGATAGTATCGCGTGATAACCATCATATAGTGACTATATTATAGTCAAGCATAATTCACGTGGTCGGCAATGCGTTGACCCTTTGCACTCCGAAATTTTGCCTAATATAATCATAAAACATAGCAAACTGAACATTTTTACAGTAAAATTATCCGAAATCATAAATTTCGAAAGGAAGTATAATATCTCTTCCCTTTTCCATATTTTATCGGTGAGAGTAATTTAAGAACCAACGTTCCCATTATGAATATCGCTATATCGACACCAGTGGAGTACAAAGGGTTAAAAATAACAAAAACCTACTAATTAATCATATATTCATACGATAACATACTCATACACGCTATTAAAAAAGAAAATCGTAAAAAAGCAAAGAAAATAATTCTTCACACAGGACGAGCAGCCCCTGACACTCTGGTTATCATGATATTCTATCTATCTCACTGAATATTATATTGATATTTATTATACATTATATCTGTTTATTTCTATATATATTTATATATACACTTGGGTATTTAACATTTACTATGTGGTAATTGTATTTTACATACTGACAGGGGTACTTTGATATATATACAACATATTTACACGTATATATAAATTATCGGTCATTTTGTTGGGTAATATTTTCGTTCAAGCGTTAATCAGTGTTTTCTTGCATGGAGCTCGATGTGCAGCTGCAGTCTCTCTTTTATCTGTATTATAATCATATTATATATACATTTATCATACGTATACATTCATATAGGTGATAAGGGTTAAAAAATCTATAGAAACTTGTCTTTGATTATATATATATATACTATTCTTATATATATATACATCTATCATAATTTGTATTGAATGTTGGATGCCATTATATTTTTCTCTATTAAGTCTAACGATTTGTTTTTGTTTCTATCATTATTTGTCGTGGTCATACGTGAGGAAAGTCTATTCGCAATAAACGGGAAAGGAAAAAGAAGAACGAATAAATTAATAAAAACAACAAAGAGTTAATGGATAATCAATTATAATAAAGAAAAAAATAATTATAACGATTGTTTACGACATATTAAAAGAATTTAATTGCAAAGGAGGAAAGTGTAACGCAAATATGATGAAACGTTCGTCAATGATCGCATCTCGATAATGATATTTCGGAAATTAGTACACATGAAATATGTGAATGATCATCGATAGACTTTCCTCAGCTTGGGGAACTTTTGAGATGGTCCTTGAACAATGAACAATCACCGCTGATTTTTTTTAAAATTGGCCATGACGTATTAGGTAATAATCTCATAGCTGTATTATCATCGTATACAACTGAGCCCTGAGATAATAATCAACTTTTTTAATATTCTAATTGAGTGGACTCTATTATAATTAATTGATTGTTGGCAGAAATTTAATTTTCTGTTTTTCTGTTTTCTGTTTTCTTGTCCTGTCCGTCGACATTGCCCCTGGGCTGGGCATACACAGGATTTCGAGGTACTAATCAAATTAAATCACTGTTTGTTATATGAACTCAGTATATTAATTATAATCAGTGTTGGCCGTGTTCCGGAAATGCTTCTTTATCTCACCATTACTTTTAGCCGTATTATTATTATTAACCATATATACTATTATCTACTACTTACTACTACCTACCTACTACTACTAGTACTACTACTACTACTACTACTACTACTACTACTACTACTACTACTACTTACTATACTACTACTACTACTACTTACTATACTACTACTACTACTATTACTATTACTACACTCTTAACCAATGCATTTAAATTTAACTGATTTGCTCTGTCTACCTTACTGTTTTCCTCCCATCGATCGGTGTTAGCTGTGACATACACACATCTATGTATGTATATATATTACACATAGAAAGTACATATATATACATACTTATATATTTATATGTTCCCTATATGATATATATTATCTATAAAGCATACATATGTATACGATATGTGTTTATATATTTATATAAGTTTCATAATTTATATATCTATATAAATGTATACAATATACAGAATTATGCAGAACAGTGTCTGCTGCATTTCAATATTTGAGTCCAACCAGATTGTCCTTAGATGAGAATATTATTTGTGAGTAGTGTTTAGTGCAACCTGTAGAGCAATGTTTTGGTGCACTCAATGCAACTATATATATATACATACATATTATGTATATTATTTTTCACCATATAGCCTTCTACGTCTTGTCCCATATGTCATGGGACACTCCGTATATTAAAGCCATCCAGTATTTGTTCTCTATGCGCCAGTATGTTTTGCATTCATGTAAATGCATTCAGAATGAATTGAAAATTGTGGTACAAATGTGGTACCGACGTTACTATGATTCAAAATAGATCTAAATGATAAAATAAATTTTTCTTATAAAGCTTCACCTTTTCTATATTATTTCAAAATTAATTCGGCAATATACATTGTTAATTGCATATCTCTTTTTATATACAACAGTTATAATAGTTTTTGTATATAGTGTGATAATATTGTCTTGAATGAAAGGAATGCACATGATATTAATAATTTTTAGTAACAAAGTAATTATGTGATATGTCTCCATTGATTTTGACAATAATATTTTTCGGAAGCTTCGTATGATAAAATGTTATTCTGAAATTTTGATTAAAATTGAATCATAGAATATTCAGTATCCCACTTTTGCCATAAATTGTGGTACATCGTGTATATTGAAATTTACCGAAGTATAGACAAGAGGAACGAATTTATACGATTTCTGGTATATTTCATTTAACTAATTATTAGTAATGAAATGATACAAATTAACATTATTAATAAATTCTCTTGCATAACAGTAAGAAGTTTAACGATAAACCAAACAGAATTGCAAAACGAAATTTTATAAATTACAAATAAATTGGAAAATTGCAAGATCATAAAGTTATAAAATTGAAAAGGATCTGCTTGTATGACAAAACTCCAATATCTAATAAGACTAGCCATTTGTCAATCCATTAATACTCTTAATTAGTAAATCATTGTGTAAGAGGACCTTGCTACTGGAATTGGCGAAGATAAATCAGAAGAAGAAGAGGGAAACGATCGTGGCGGTGTATTAATTCAATAAACGCGTAGTTGGAGCATAATAATGATAATTAGGTTCTGAGAAGGGGATCCGTGAAGTGCTTTTGAAATCGTGTTGCGTCAACCTCAAGGTCAATCTGTGGTAATTAAACATTATCTACATTCTATACGGATATGCGTATTTCCTTAATTTATTAATTTATTTATTTAATTCTCGTAAATTAAAGTCGTATGATATTTTTCACGCCTCCGAAGAAACTGATAATGAATGAGGAACTTATTGCACTTTAAACTGTTCCAGATATTTGCAGAAGTATTTTTAGTTTATTACATTTGATACAGTTATTGCTGCGATAATTATAATTGACAGCAGTAAATATTTATATTTGCAAATATTATGTAGACGAATATTCAAATTATATAATTCACAAAATGAATAAATAAATAGGGTGTGTAGTAAATAACAAAGCAAAGAAATGATAAAGTATCAGAAGTAAATCATTAATTATAAAATAATCGTTGTATAATCGAAAGTGAAAAATCGCAACTCGATTTCAAAAATTCATTTCGTACCCACCTATGAAAACACATTCTAAACAAGTAATAAAAAGATTTCGGAGTACGGCCGTAGAAGCATATGTTGAACTATTATAGTAACAAAATCATGTAGTAATACTCGTAGCGCCAAAAAATTTATTTTTCATGGATTTTTTAATTTTCGCGCAAAACCGGGTGACAGACACAACTATTAACAGAGAAAAGAAAGAAAGGGAATAACATAAAACATTATCAACAGGACAGTTATCGTTGAAATTACGTATCATCATTTGTTTTCCTTTTTAATCGAAAGGCTACTTTTCGTTAGGGACGAATAATAGAGATGAATGTTTATGTACGTCTCTAGGGAAATTTGAATGCACTGCATGAATGAGTAGTTCTCGATATATGTACGATAGAAAAAAGTCGCCCGCTTTTGCAGAACCATCTATTAAAACCACTCTCACGTTGCCAGTTATGTAGTAGAGCAATGGTATCGTGCTATATAGTGATGTCTGATTTGATGAATGAAATTATCACAATTCGTGAGAAAAGCAACTCGAAAATAGCCCGACACAACACCTTCTTCGACCTCCATACACATACACACATCATTACATACATACATCTATAACAGTGTTCTTTAAACTTCGATAACACTAGTAATCAATTTATCTCTCAATTTCTTAACACCCTATATAAACAAAAAATCAAAACGAGTAAAGCTTTTCCATTAATCCGCAAGTCAGATGTGCCAATCTACTCGATAATTTTTCAAAAATATTTTAAATCAACAGAGATAAAATACAGAATATTCAACTTTGTAAGCAAAACTTATTCGATTATTTTTGTAATCTACAGACTTCTTTGATATTCTTCCGAATATAATAAACTCCTTACCACAAAATACACTAAATAATATTCTTAGAATACAATAAAAATACAGAGGTCATTAAAACATGATTATAATAAAAATTCGAAGTTATTAACATCGTCAAACATGACAGATGTTCCGTTTTCTCTATTTTCTACCAAATTATAGAATTTTTGAAAACTGGGTTCTCCAGTACAACGCTTGTCCATTGTATGGAATATATTTTGTATTAATACATTGTACATAACCGTCGCGAGTATAACAGTGATTGCGTATATGTATTTATTATTGACTTTAGTCGACGCTTATACCGAAGAAATTATATAACGATATAATAAGTTTGAAAAGCACTGTTCTACAGCATGCTACCGCTGTACACGATGTTTCGATCCTGTGGATCTCAGACACAATAAAACTACCCTTCTAAACACCATCACTCGCGATCACTCTGACCGATCGATCTATTGATCGATCGCATCCTAACTGTGCATCATTGAACAAAAAAAGAACCCAAAAATAAAAAAAAAAGAAAAAGGAAGAATCAACCGGGCCAAATCCCAATATCTCGTGCATTTTAGATATACCAATACCAATTGCACATATATAGCAGATTTATCGACGCCGAGCAATCTCGATGACATTTATACATTTTTTGATAAGTTTAGGCCATCTCCAGAGTTGCCTGCCTGCCGCTGAACTTCTTAAAAGAAAAAAAGAAATATTTTTTACAAAAAATATTAAAAATTCGCTGTACGATTAATTAGACGCTGCTCTCTGTGATATTTCTGCTTCAAAGTTTTGAACCGTTTTTTCACTGTTCACCCAATGTAATCTCGCTTCTTTTGTGCGCCTTGTTGCAGTAGGAAATGCGACCAGCCGCGGCCAATACTCGCGATTATCCAGCTTTTTCAGGCCCGCTTCCTTTATCGAACTCGAGCCGCTAAATGGATGACTTGGCTTTTAATTAGCGGAGAAAATGATGCATGGTGTGTGCAGCTTTATCGTGCTAGTTAATCCCTGCATGCTAGTCGATACGATCGTTTTTGTTATACACGAATCAGAAAGAGTTCCGTAAGAAATACGTTTCGGAGAAGAGGAGAACGTTTTTGAAAAGAACGAGAAACTTTTAAATTGATATAGTATAATGACGAGTAATTGAATTAATATGTGTTTTCTAAAATGATCGATAGATCGTGAATCATTGCGAGTTTATGGGAAATTTCAAGAAACTAAAATGCGTAGAATACACATTATCGAAAGTATAGTACTCGTTAGAATATTTGGTACGTGAAAGAAATCTGTGTCGACGTCTTACTTTGGAGAATTTATTGCTGAGCAAATATGAAAGAAAATCTTTCTAGAAATTTAAAACGAGTTACAAGGATAGTATTTCTTTCTATCTAAATACGAATAAAAAATTGAACGATTTTATAGAAAAATTTTGATTCGAGTATACCTGAACGTGCATGAGTTCCAAAGATGGTTCATTTGAAACCAGTCACACAAGTAGACTTATCGAGACACTTATGTTCGGAGAAAAGTTCGGTGACAGAAAGGAGCTAACGAGAACCATTGTTTTAAAAGAGCGTACTTGAACAGTTTACTTGTACCGTAAACTTTTCTCTTTGATGTGTGTTTAATGATGTACGGAATTGAGATAAAAGGAATAAAGAAAGATTCAGATTAAGACAGTGCCAAGTTTCATTGTTGATGGATGGAACAATGAAGTTTGGTACCGTTGGGGAAGAAATATCTCTGTAAATCGAATAGTTAATACGATACAACAAAGAAAATCGGAAATTCCTAAAAATTGTAACAGGATAAAAAGAAATAAATGAAATGAAAAGAAGAAAAGTATAATTCAGAGTCCAGTAGAATGAAAATTTTTGGAAGAGTAGGATAAAATATCTTTGGAAATTAAAATAGAATGCTATTATACATTTTTCAAATTCCTCTAATTTTCTTCCCAAAGTAAGAAAGAAAAATCATTGGAAATTTCCTTGGAAGGGAAATAAGGTATAATAATTTCGGACATTTTTTTAGAAATAGAATAGACTATAATTAGACATTTTCGTCAAAGATAAAACGAAGCGGTATCCTCCAAAAATTTTCCCGAAACTAAAATGCAAAATAAAGATTGGAGAGAAATTTCTTTGCCCGAAAAGACCTGCTTAAAAAGATGCACTGTGATGCATATTAGCCGATATGATAGTACAAGACAATCGACGATTCAGAGCTTTATCCCATTATCGAATTGAGCATTATTTTACTCGAACGAGTTTTTCACGCCTTTTTTTCCGAAATGTTGTTGGCACACACGGTTTTATATTGTCCGGGGCATATAAAGCCATAGAGGATCGAATCACAAGTGTGCATGTAAGAGTAGACCGCGAAATTATTTCGTTTCCGATCTCGACTAATGCAAGACGATCGTATTATTTGCAGTTTTTTGTAAGACTCGATCATATCCGCAAGTGCTTTACTCAGAAGGATGGGATCTTTGTATTGGAAGAATTCAGTGAGTAAATTCTTATAAAGAAAATATAAAAAAGGAAATAATTATTCTAAAAGATTTACAAAATAGTTTTATTTAAAAAGAATATTGTTTTATACCACTTTTATATAAAAGATTATATATAGGAGTATAGGATTTTTCTTATCGTATACTCCTATATAAAAGTATATTTGTTATATTTTTTGTTAATAAATTTTTTAATATTCCCCTTCAATTTCGAACTTTTAATGTTGATATTTTTTACTTTTCAGATCCTAAAACTAGACAAGTAATTCAACGTAAATATAAGTCTCAAATGGTAAGTAGATTAAGTTCTAATGATACGAGTTTTTTAAAATAATTTTTCTTTAATTGCTTGTTACTATATATGTATCTCCCGTACATCTAGTATTCTCTTATCATATTATTCATCGTAATGATTAAATATTTTAAAATATTTTCTTTTGTATATTATGTAACAGACCAATGAACTGTGCCACTGCATCCACAGGGTATTCTCCGTTGCCTTTACGTTATATGAATTCTCGTCTGAGGTTCAAGCCGATCCCGAAAACGACAATGCATGAAGGTTTAATTACCATTTTTTTATTTTTCGTTTTCCACATGTAATTCTCCGTTGCTTATTTTAGATTTTGTTCTTTTTTCGCTTCCAGAAGCTTATAATAATCGCTGCCCATCATAATTCATCTTCGTTTTTTCCTATATTATCTTATTAAATAAAATTCTTGTTTCTTAATCATAAGTTAAAAGTGCAAAAGATTAAAAAGCATATATTTACAAAAATTGTCAAATCTTCCAAAATAGATAAGAATAAAACACACATGTCCAATAAAGTACTGAATGATGCAATGAATAATCCCTAACAAAAATTTGATATGCAAAATTACAGGCAGATCAAATCTGTTACTCGGTCCTCTGTGTGTTCTCTTACTTGGCCGTTGGGTTGGGGCAAAGAAAGCAACAACAGAACCAACAGCAGCAGCTCCCGCGTCAATCCCAGCCCCAGCCCCAGCAACAGCAACAGCAACCACAACAGCACCAACAACAACCACAACGTCAACAACCTCAGTCACAGCAACGTCAGCAACCACAGCAGAAGCAACAATATCAACAACACCAACAAACACAACAACGTGCACAGTATCAGCAGCAACGTCAACAACAACAGCAACAGCCTCAAACTCAACAACATTCAGGTAGCAATGTCGGCCAACCTAATCAAGGCCATAGAAACGCGCACCTCGATTCTTTTCCTAAGCATCACTGACACAGAGGCAGACACTCGCTCCCATTTGTGCATAATTACAATAAATGTGCCCCCTACGCTTGCCTACCTTGGGTGTAAACCTTAATCGTTTCAACCTTAATCCATTTGCATCGTTAAGGAATGTAAAAGAATAGACCTTCCAAATGTTGGATGTGGATGATAATGAGTAAATTATACGGATTCTTAGGTATGATAAAATTTATTGAAGTAATAAAAAATTAATAGCACCTAGGAAAATTTTTTCGAACGGCACTAATGGCTGATCGTAATGAAATTTGACGAGTTTTATGGGGAAGAACAACGAATAGAAAATGTGAAATCTGAACTGTGGCAATTTGAAAGAAAATCTAGGATTTCATATACAGAATTAGTCATTAGATTATTTACTTGAATAATTCGAGAACGAAAAAAGAAATGTAATCTATTTCAGATGTTTGCAAAAGTTCACAAATGTTTGCGAACGTTTGTATTGGAATATTCACCGAGTATTTGTGATTCTCTATCCGATGACAAATGATTCGCAAGCATTTCGATAAAAATGGACCAATTATTTGTTCTTGAAATATATAAATTCCTGCGTCATCCTAATCTCAATTCCAAAGGGAACGCTATACACGCTATTAGATACGCCTCCGATGCAAATGGATCGAAACGAGCAGAAAAATCTAATCTAAAAAGTCTAATCTAAAGAATCTTTAATTTTCAAATTCTCAAAAATCGTTTCATTTCAACTTTGATCTCTGACTATAAAAAATTGGTAATCGTTGCACGCGCCGCTCAAACAGCGGTATATCATCCTCCGATCATTCTCAGAGAGTCAGCTCTAAGTTTCCTCTAAATGTGGAAAACCTGTTTCGTATTCTATTCGAGAAAAGTAGTCGATGGAATCGAACGAGGGTATTTTGAGACTGGAATCAGACTGGAGGGTTAAAACGACAACACGTTGCCTAACGAACTAGCTAAGTCGATTATTTAACAAGAATAATTTTCAATGTAAAATATGATATAGTGAAATTAAGTTGTAATTTGCTTTCAAATTCTTTTAAAGAATTACAGAACTCCGAACTTTGTAACCTCGAATGGTATTTATGAATATTTACTTCGAAAATTATTTATCAGATCGAAATCTATCCTTTTTATTAATTTCAGTTTAGATTATTCATTGCGTTCTAAGGATATATTTTTTCAGTTGGAAAATTGAGAATTATTCTACGAAATTCTTCTTAGAGTTTGGTGTCTTAAATAAAAATATATTCAAATCCAGTGATAATTTCTATGACAGTCAACGTGTTAAGCGTTTCATAAAGCAATTGAAAAAATAATTCGTGAATCAAAAAGTGAAAAGAAAAACATCATTGAGAAATTGGCTGATTAACTGGACACAATCGTGATAATTATTTACAAAGCGGGAGTCTTGGGTGTAAAATGATTAAAATGAATTGCGAAGCATTTTTTCAACAGTTCTCGGTGGAAGAACTTGAAAAATTATCGATTGACGATTCGAAGTAAAATGAAGTTGATGATGATGATGATGATGATGATGATGATGATGACGACGACGACGACGACGACGACGACGACGACGACGGTGATGATGATGATGGTGGTGGTGGTGATGATGGTGATGCTGATGATGATAATGATGATGATAACAATAACAATAATAATAATAATAATGATGATAATAATAATAATTATAGTAACAGCAACGTAATAGAGTAACAATGGTTATTGTACATTCGGAAGTATGGATTCGAGTGGTATTTAAATGAACAAATAGAAGATCGTACTGGGCGATTTACATGTTCTTTGATCCCCTTACTATGGATCGTAAGGAAGACTTATAAGAGAAAAGGAATATATCTCTCTAATAGTTTCATTCTTTGATATGTCCATTGTGTGCACGTGTAGAGACATGAAGTAATAAAGCTTGCGTAGTTGCTGGAGGAAATATAACGAGGTATGAAAACAGTAACTATAGCAAGATACATTTTATTGCGGGCATTGAAGAGAAAAATTAAAGAAATTTTTAAGGGAACAGGAACTTCATAAAATATACATCCTGTATTTTAAAAATTATCCAGAGTGATATACAAATTGGAAGTGAAATATTTAAAGACATATATATATATAAATATAAATCCTCGTATTAAGTTTTACCTCGCGAATATTGTGGTGAAGATTATTTTGACGGATTGCGGTAAAGCAAGAAATCATAATCGTATACGACTTCGTTAAATTTCTCCCAGCAACGATAAAAATATATTAGTCGTTCGTGAAAGAAATCTACTTATAACGCCGTTAAACTATCCTTCGAAGCTTCGAAGAAGGTCCGCGTATAATCAATGGCGTGGTCTTTCTTGGCGGTGTTTTCTATGAATAGCACGTAAAGCAATTCTGAGATACAATAAATGAGATAGAGAAGAGAAAAAAAAAGAAATAAAAAGAATAAAAAAAGTAGAGGAAGAACTAATATTCGTATAATCGGTGGAACAATTTTGTATAAAATACATCGAAACAGACTATAACTGTGATCATCTAATTTGATGGAGAAAAATGAAGATGAAAGAAGGTGAAGATGAAGTTATTTAATTTCATATGGCCGCATGAAATAGCCCAAAAGAGTATTATGTATAATCTCGGATAGGATCGATACAATAGCCGTCTCTCCCTCTCTATACATAATCATGCATTCATTTCAACTAATTGTATCGTTGTTGTTGTAAGATCTGTTTTAAGACGTTTTGACTCGTTAACGCCGTTAAAAGAGATGAACGATTTTATTCAGACTTTCTCTTTTCTTTTTTAGGATTTTAGTCGGAGTCGTAATAGGTGTGAGGAATAATTATTGTTTTCTAGTCGACGAATGGTCGGTCTGGAGGAGACAAAGGGATTAGAAAAAGAGATTCCTGCTCCACGTTGATCTTGAAATTTGAAATCACGTGAATTCTTTGAGGTTGGCTAGTAATTTTATTTAAAAGAAATTTAAAATCGAGGAAATTACAAATTCTCAAAATTCATAGATAAAGTTAATTAAAGTTAGCTGATATTATGCTAATTTCTTGCAAAAAAATAGTTGAAGTTTTTCTATTGTCTAAAAGTCAAAACTTCCAAACTTAAAACAATTAAAACTTGAAATTCCTAAAATTGAAAATATAAAAATAAAAAATTCTCAAATGCGAGAAAGTTAAAATATAAAATTTCCCAATATTTCAAGAATATCATTTTACAATCCTTAAAATAATTTGAGGATTAAATTAATTAAGGATTAATTCTTGAATATGTTGACCAAAAAAAAAATATTCCTTAATTCTACGTTGCAAATTTCAGGATCAATTATATGCTCTCTCCCTAAAGTTGCAATAAAAGAAGAAAAATGTGTAAAGAAGCGATGAGTATAGTGGTTAAACAGACGTATAACATATTCTCTAAACTAACGGGCTTTAAATCTCCAAGGCTGACTATTTGCATACTTTACCTCATGATAATTAACGCGAAGTAAGAAAGGAATGAGTCGGTCGTGCTAATGTAACAAGTTAATTACGTATATATTTTAGTATGGATACTAAATAATGTAAAGGTTAATGTATATTTGTAATGAATGTCGAAGCGTCGAACACGAGCGTCGATTTATCTCCTTATGTTATTCGAATTCATTAAAATTAAAAATGCATACTACGATCAATTTTTCGATTTATCAAGATTATCATAGCGAATAAAAGGAAAGAACAGCCGTAAGTATACGAGATAATGAAACGTCGCATTTCTGAACATTTATCGTGTAAAATAATAATTTGTATGCAACGTTAATTTATGATTTTGTTGTAAGCTTGGCCGTAAGCACTGATCGTAAGTTTGAGATTAACTTTTTAATTTAGGCTTTAGATTCGTTTCTTTCGTGCTTAGTGTACGACAGCGAAAAGTTGAGAAAGGAATACAAAAGATAAAAAGCAAAGATTTGAGATTAATGATTTAGCGTGGTAATTCGAAAATTTGAACGTTTCCGAATATCTTCGATACAATAGCAAATTAAATTTTAAATGATACAAATTTCATATACGAGGTTCAATTGCTTATTAATACTTGTTTCGCTACTTACAGACTTTAATAACTTAAGACGATTACCGAAGAATTATCCTGCTCTCAGATAATTGATAATTATAAATAAACACATTTGTTTCTATACTTCATCTAAAAATAAATTCGATATTAAATGTAATCTCAAACTTATATTCAGAACTGCACATCATTTTTCATACATAACAAGTGAAACTTTACGATATGTATCACCCCTTCAAGTTATTATATCTCGTATCTGTGATCTTAAATTTTGTAAATCAATCCTACGTTTAAGTTTAATTATTGTTTCTGGTGATGTGCGTGCAACGGAAGATGCAATCAAAAAAATGAAGCTTCAAATTACATACATGTACTTACATTTCGTAGATAGACCGTGTTGTCGAATCGATACGGCTGAAACTCAACGTGTTCCCCTGCAAACAAGAAAATAAAAAAATAAAATTTCACATATCTCGTATGTAAGAGGAAACCCACGAGCATTCTATTCCTCCATTGTTCTCTCCGCACGTGATTAGCCTTTTCAATAAAATTAATTATGATTATTATTATTATTATTTGAAACGATGAGTTTGATAACAAACATAAAAATTTAGTGAAAAGTTGAAAAAAATATCAAAAGCCTAGAAATACTTCCGAAGGTTTAGCGTGCAAAGACAAAGTTTGAAAATTTCTAAAAGATATTAGGATTTTGAAAAATCTTGATGTCTTGGAAGTTTCAGAAAAATTGATTCATTTTACAAAACAGATATATATATATATTAACCCAATAATTCATGAAACTAAAAGCTGGAAAGTTTTGTAATTAAAAATTCTATCGAACGATTTAGGAAATTAAGATAAATATTATTTAATTAATTTCATAATCCTCCATTTTTTATTCTTTTCTTTAAACACGTTTCAATTCGTATTTTTAAACCTCGAACACAATTCCATTTTGATCAAAATTTTATTGATAAATATTATTGGAAAGTTAGCATAAAGACGCGTATCAATGAATCTTCAGAGAAGTATTTTTATACTTCTGACCCATACGATACGTTTATCTTGTAAAACCGAGCTCTGAGTTAATATCAGACTGTGTTTTATTTCATCGTGGAACACAATTATACGCATATAATCAATTAGGAAATAACTTGTTATTAAAAAGACATGTTCTCTATAATGTTCAACGTACCTTATAAACAGAGAACAATTCAATAAACAAATTTAATCTAATTTCACAATTAATTGATAAACTACGATAAATAACGAATCGTGTCGTTTGTACGTGTTACGATTAAACGAAAATGAATATACGATCATGAACAAAAGTTTGAATTTGAACAAAAATTGACACAGATTAGCTCTATTTGTAAAATTCTTTGTAAAACTTGTAAAAAACATGATTCCTTTTTTCTTGTAAAATATAAGATTCAAGATTTCTGAGTATAGCTAATATCGATTTTTTATGTTTCATGAATAACTGTTACGAGAACTAAAATTCCTGTCCTATTCAGAGTTTTTATATTAATTCTGAAATCATAATTTTTCTGTTTCTATATCGATTCTTAAACGGTTTTAGAATCAATTTCCGTATTTTCTAGTAATTGAAATATATTGCATTAAAAACAATTCATCGTATATTTCTAATTACTCATTTTCATGCTGCAGCTGCTTAACA